CCCCCGCGTGACTTGCCAGCGGACCCAAGGCCTCCTTCCTCATCCAAGGAACAGTCAATCGCCCTCGTCCGAAGAGAGACACGAACGGGTTCCCCAAACGCCTGGCTAGACGTTGTCGACGAGGACGCCTGGATTTATTCGTGGGACAAGGACCGTGGATTGGAGTGCAGTGGGGTGAGTGACACCTCCCAAGTGCACCGTCGGTTCTGCAGCAAAGGGAAGGTACTGTCAGGCTTTTTTCTGGACTAGCCAGTTTTTTTGCAGTCCGACGAGCCCGCCCTGACGGCCCACCGATGATGCACTCTGGTCCACAAGATCATCATAAATAATTAATAACAAAAGCCTGGACCCAGCGAACTCTGCTACACACCCCATCTTGGAAGCCCTTGTTCAAGCTCATGCTAGCCCATGCAGTTTCTTACGGCCATTGAACAGGATGTTTATTCACTTTTAAAGAACCTGTCATTCACTTAGCCGCCAATTTCGCTGCCCTATGATACAATTAAAAGCTAATGCTGAAACATAATCAAGCATCAAATTTTGGAGTAGCCAAATGAGCTAAACTTCACACGCTTACGCGAAAAGATAACCAGGATATTCATGATTTTATCCTGCAACTTCAGACGCAAGCTGCTCGCTGCAATTTTGGCGACCAGTTGCATTTACAACTTGGAAATCGTTTGTTCGCCGAAATCATTCATTCCAACCTGCAACAGAGATTATTACTTATTCCCTGTCCAACTTTTCAATCCGTCAGGGCGTTGTGCAAGCATTTTCAAGATATGAGGGCCGCAGTGGAAGAAAAACCTATCATGGTATACAAGTTTGGCAGTAAAATACAATCTGGTAAACAAAAGCCGAGGCAATTTAAAACGACTGCTACTCATAATGAAATCCATAAGAAAAGTACTATTGCTTTTGGAAAGCATTGGAATAACTGTAACTTTTGTTGGTATAAATATTCTCAACTGACTTGCAAGTTTCACAATTCTGAGTGTTATATGTGCTAAAACATTGGTCATCTTCAAGTTGTTTGTTGAAGTACAGCTACTTGTTTGGTACAAGAAGCATCAGGTGAGCAACATCTCTCAAATGTGTTCCGGTCCGTTGCTCTTGCTGTGTGTTCGTTGATCAGTATTCCCACATTACCGAACAATTTGTTGTCAGTGGGTATCACAATATTCCTTTATTTTAGATACCGGCAGTTACAGTCTTTTATTCCCAAGTGCTATTTTAAAAGTCTAATCCCCTAAGTTCGACTAAGACTAATTATTGCTTTTGTTAAAGGGATTACTGGACATCTAAGTTCTCTCCATGGTTCTTTTAAATTATTTCTTTTAAATGATCAGTCTAATTTAATCAAAATTACATTTCTTGTCACAGAGTCGGATCCATCCATCACAAGCCAGAAGAGTATGAAAGATTTAAATATTTCATTGTCAATGTTTTCTGATACACTTCAATCAAAACTTCATTCGCTTGACACAAAATGTTCCGATGCCCAAGGTAGATTGCGTAGTAAAACTGTCATGCTTGATATTTAGAGCGCTACGTAGTTCATACAGAGACGAATCATTCGGTCTTAGGGAGCCTGTGATGAAATCACCCGATAACATGGATGAAAAGGGCACAATTTTGCCAGTGCATACTTCTGCTTGGGCTACATCAATCGTTACTCCGCTCAAACGTAATGGTAAGACTCCCAGAATTTATGACGATTACCTCGCTAGACTGAACAAGTACATGTTACAGAGGTGCTGCACTACTGCTGATTCCAAAGATACTCTTCAACAGTTAAGCGGATCCAAGTGTTCTTAGAAGCTCGACTAGCAAGACGTTTGCGTGCACATTCTTCTTAATGAACAGTCCAATGCTCTTGCCACCAATAATAAGACATTTAGTCTATTCCTCTACAATTTTTGCCATTTGGACTCAGTGTGTCACCATCTACTTTCCAAGAATTTATGAATTCTGTGACCGCCGGCTCGACTGGTATTTTAGTATACCAATATGATGTCGCTGTACATCCGCCTACCAAATCCACTCACGAAAAGAGACAGTTGGAAAAGACTTTATTAATTTATTGTGGCAGTTAACCAGTCGAAGTGCATCTTTGGTACAACAAAGTTCTCCTGTCTTGGTCATCTAGTTGACGAAATTGGTTTTCGCCCAGATCCTGCTCGTTTTTCGCTGCTCTCTTAAGCATCTACTCCGAAGAATTTAGATGAACTACGTTCACTGATGGGATCATTGCAGTATTATACAAAATTTGTCCCCAAGTTTGCTGCAAAGGTAGAGCCGCTTTTTGCAATACAATCTAAGAAAACCTTTGCTTGATCTCAAATTCATGAGGATGAGCTGCGTAGTATGCTTTGATTTCTGTCTACGAATGCTGTTTTAAGCTTTTTCACCAAATTACCCTCGACCGTAATTACAGGCGCATCGCCTACTGGTATCCAGGCAATACTAGAATCCAATGATCATCCTGTATTGTGTGTTTTCAGAAGTCTCGGCTCCGCTGAACGTGGATAAGCACAAACAATTAAAGAAGCTCTTGCAGTGCATTGGGCAATCACATGCCAATGCAAACATATGCTTGGCATACATTTTACACTTGTTATTGACAATGAAGCCTTGAAATTCATTTTCAATCTCCATAATTCTGTTGCCCAAATCTTCCGCAGCAATGGTGCAGCGTTGGAGCATAGCGCTTACCGCCTATTCGTATGACATACAGCACCGTAGTACTAAACAAATTCCACACGTTGTTTATTTACCACGATATGATGATGCTGATGTGATTTGGGGTTCAGAGTGCCTTTTAATCTAACCAATTCCGGCAAGCCGCTCCCAGTTGGTCTGTGATACAAGGAATTATTGTCATGGTGTTCTGTTGTCGACCCGCGAAGGAAAGAATTCTGATTTGAAAAGACGATTTCCGCAGTTTTACACGCTACGTGACGAACTCTCCGTTACACCTGAAGAAATTTTGTGTCACCAAGGTCGAATTGTTGCTCCACCTACACTTCCATCTGCTGTGTTGAAGGACTTGCACTCTAGCCATCTGGATGTAAAAAGTAAAGTCATTGTCTAGGTTGACCTGTTGGTTGTCAGAGCTGAATGCTGCCATTCTTTGCAAGTCAGTGAACTGTACCAGCTGCTAGAACAAAATCCAGTTCAGACCTCCGAAATGGACGCCGTGGCCCGTGCCATGTGAGGCATATCAACACGTACATGCTGACTATTGTGGTCTATTTCTGAACAAATACTATGCAGTAATAATAATGGATTCATCTTTTGTTGGCCAAAATTATATTTTATTACACTGACTAATTCAGACCACCATCACCGCTCTCCGCAAGACGTTTAGACGCGAAAAATTACCGACCGTTGCGGACAACGGTAGCTATTTCAGTGCAAAAAATGTAGGTAAATTACTTAAATAGGTTAGTTACCGTTACGTTTACACTGCTCCTAGGCACCCACAATCCAATAGTGTGTCATAAAATTGTGTGTGTTATTAAAAGTGCAGTCGCTTTCCTCAAACCAGCAATGTTTCTTGAGCTTAATAGAGGCGTTGACAACTTTCTAATTCGGTACCGGAATGTTGTTCATTTGACCACAGGAGAGAGTTCGGCAAAGTCCTTTGAAAGACGTTTGCTTAGGACAAATATGTTATGGCTGGCATCCGCGAAAGTTGTTTGTCATCATGGTGATGATCTCCGACCATCACTGGAATTATCCTCAACCACCTTAGTTCCTGTATGTGTCGAATACTTGACTTGTCGGATGATTCTGTGCATGATAGACACTAAGATCAGTTTTAATGTAATGTTCCTGTTGATATTGAGGTTGCTGATGAGTCTAACAATCGTTTATTTGAGTATATTCCATAGAAAACTTCAACAGAAGAAGCGGCTTCTGAAATTCCACCACAGCAATCGTGGAGATCTGTGAGGCTCAAGAAAAAAGAGAGCCGTAATTACAAAAGCCCAGAAGTGCTTTTGAACTGCGGCGGATGTGGAGATTGTACATAAACAATATTGTACCCTTCTTGTTTTACTGAGCTTTCAAAATTAGTGTAATTCCGAATTCACCAAATACGATTCCCACGTGCGCTCACATTGCGTTATTTATTCCGGGTCGTTACTAGCTCTGGGTTTGAGCCTAATCCATTTTGATTGGGGTTACTTCACAGAATACCACGGATATTTTAATTTATTCAAAATAGCATGAAGGTACACGATCGCAAGCTGAACATATTTTTAATTGTTAACTATGTAGATTGAAGTTATTAAGTAAACCATCAATTAGCCATATATCACTTAACGTGGTAAGACCCGCCGTTAGTAAAATGCCTTATGGATCCACCGTATCAGAAGAAATAAAATGGTATTGTAGTACGGCTGAATATTGCAACAAACTGTTCCAAAAATATTTTAGACGAAAAGAGGTTACTTTTATGAACAACAAAGGGGAGAACGTGAAGTTATTCTAAATCTGTCAACCAGTATATTTAGTTTCCCCTTATAAGTATAGGGTGCTGAACATCATCAGGTAAGTATCACGCGCGTTTCATAAATTCACATTTACACGGAAGATACGGAAGACAAAAAGTACTGGGTTGCAAAGAGTGTACTTAGTAGAGTACGCATGTGTATTGCTTGGAAAATTAAAAGTCGCGGGGCAATGCCTGCTAGACACAGCCACTCGAGATTCAGCTGTAACCTTATCCTTTAGTACACATTGACGTTGTGGTGTTTATATAAACAACCAAGCTAAAAGCGGACTAATCACAATGTTGAACTTAGCCCGGGAAATCTTTAAGTCCGTTAATATCGTTTAATATGCACAGATTAATGAAAGTGTGTGATCTAACCAATGTTTGTTCCGCCATTTATGTTTTAATACAGTGACCAATTATGGTAAGCAACACGTTCCACTATGACCTGAAGTGGGTTCATAGTAATCAATTCCTTCATTGTATAAGAAAGACTCGCCTTTATGGCTTCATAATTCCCAATCGCTGCAGCACGATGCAGTGGTGTCATGGTGTCCGTTGATCTATAATCCAAATGAGCCCCACCAGCCACCAAAGCCATAATCATCTCCCTGGGCTTTTCAAGCTTTATTGCCGTAATCAGTGGCGTGTCTAAAATGGAAGTTGATGATAGGTGTTGGCATATAACAATCAGTAGGGACACCATGAGGCTACTCCATAATATTTGTGGCGGAAACTTAAAACCAAAATATCAGTAGAAGTGGGAATTTCTTTAACTTCATAACTGGTATGAGACAATAACGATTCCTTACTTCAAGTAGCATGTCCCGCTAACTCTCAATTGTTTACTAAAATATTATACGATAAACGTGAAAAAGTATCATTCTATTGCAGTTTAAGAGGAATACTTTTAAATCTGTGTCTCCATAGTAGATGTGTATTTCTTTTTACCCAATAATTATTGCAAACCCGTCCTTTCTTGTTTAACGTAGTCACTGGAAGTTTTGGTCAGTAAAGTTTCCACGATAAATGGCTAATGCCTAAATTTATGATATTTTCACGAACATACTTATGACCAATGTCACCGTTAGTGCCTTTTTGTGCAAAGAACTTCCGTCAAATTTTATCATGCATGTGACTCAAAGCTTTATTCGCAAGTGAATCACCAATATGCAAAGACAATTCCGAGAAGTAAATTATTCTAATCTCGTAAAGGTACTGTTCGCAAAACAGTTAGCTGCATTAAGCGATTTGTAGTGAATTATGTAGGTAATGAACACAGCCTGCCACATCTCATACTTGTTTGTTCACTCTGTGGCAGTCCTATCGACCAACCTCCGGGAATGTACTGTTAGTTTTGTTATGGAACTTGTTTAGTTAGATGTTAACTAAAAACGTATATAATCACGTGACCCATGATTTCTGGTGGGGTAAGCAATTTTACTTTTACCATCATATCCTACTCCTTAGTTACTTTGATAACAAAGTGGCACAAAATCATGTACGCTAGTTATTTTCATGTCACGGTTCTGAGGCCACAATGTGGCAAGCAATAAACGCTCATCCTATGCATAGTCAGTTTTAGTAACTAGATGGCCAGGTAACTGAAGCAATGGAATCAAGTCAAGCATTGATTCCGTTTCTAAAAACAGCATGATTTATTACATTCATTGATCTGTCAACCACAACTAACCGATCTAACCTAAATTAGAACACCAATTTAACCGTCTTCAAAAGAACATTCAAAAGTATAACTAGCAAAGCCAGATATTGACGGCTAATCATGCGCAATATACTTAGAGTAGAAAACTAACCTCCAGTGTCTTTCCATTGAAAGTTGGGATCCAAACCCTTATTCAACCACTTGCTAACTTTTTCTACATCGCCACTTCGGACACAATCCAGAAACTGGCGAAGATTTGACTAGAAATATGCAAAATTATAACGTATAACCGACTGAAATTTTATTTATACAAAGTATTACTCAAATTTTAACCATAGTGTTTAAGTATATCCGTGATAGCAGGTAAATCCGTGAGTAGGTCAAAATATGAGTCCCACAAGGTGAAACGTGGGCCAATTTAGATTGCTTTCATGTCTTTTATGTCAGCCTGACTTCCATATCGAATAAACTAAAAGATTTAAATAATTAGTAGGTTTGAATGTTCTACATCAGTAACCTATCACTGTTAAATTGATACCATTTTGTTAAATGGATACTGAGTCAAACCGAAATTAACTACTTACACTTGCTTTTGTGTTGTAATTGCATGCAGATATCTAGAGACGACACTTTATTAACTGCGACTACTGTAATCTAAAGATTGTTGAAATTGCGTATGGCAAGAGCAAGGATAAGCAAACTTTGAAATCGAAAGTTCAAGCAAATCAGTTTAAAAGTACTTAGCATTCTTAGAAACATAAACCAAGAATACTAGTTATAATAGCAGCTTTGCAATAATGCTCAATAGCATTACTTTGCCGTAAACAAAATAATAGTCTATAATTTTGAAAAGGTTAATATAAAATAGAGTAAGGTTAAAGCTAATGAGAATCTTTTACTTGTGTCCTACTTTCAGATCCAACTTCTCTTTGTCTTACTTCATTGTGCCTATTTTTAATGACAACTTGATTTTTGTACAGGCAATTTCACCTAACTCTTTGCTACAGCTTAAAGCTTAACGAGTTATGTATTACCACATTAATTCGTTGGTTAGTATAATTATTTTGCATTAACATTCAGTCATTTATGTGAGCCAATTACAACTTTTGCCACCTGCTTAAAAAAGTTACTGGTGTTTTAAACCAGCGGTTTAAAAGTATCATCACTGGTTGCTACAGCAAAAAAGTTATATATACTACGAAAATTCAATTGGCCGTCTTGTTATATAGTTTGCAAACATTGCAGGTTCTCCAATCAACGAAATAAAATGCGAGATAAGTCAGGAGCTAAGTAAAACGTGCATTCGGCTTATGAACATTGTCAACGATAGTAATAGAAAATGCAGAACAGTGCCAATGTAATCCATTGCAAATATATACCACTAGCAAAACGAAAAGTTTAATGCTAAATAACTGCAGCAGAACCTGTCATATTTGGTCTGCTCATGTCCAAGAAGCTAATATAATTAGCATTGATCAAAACTGTCGGCTCACAAAGTTGTTAAAGCGTCCAATGAATGCATTCTAATAAGTAAGTTAAATTGTCCTGATTCCCGAATTATGCTTATAAATGAAACACCCTTGAATAGTACACACTCATGCGCTGGTAGAAGGAACAATAATTTGGTTGGTGCAGCAGTCCAATAGTGTGAAACGGAATAAAAAGCATGACATAACAAGACCCACAAAATCATAACTGTACAGGAAAATAAAATAAAGTGGTTGCGGCTTGGAATGTAAAACATCATTAGTCTAAAAACTGTACTTTGGCATGCTCTAGTGAAGCCTCCACCACTTGGAGAAGCGTCTTTAAATTTGCAAATGTTAGTGCTTTTAGCAAGTGCTGACCATGTATTTCAGTGTGAACAAAATCTAAGAATGTAAATAAACTTTATACGATCAAAATGAAGGGCCGAGTTACTAGTTGCAACTCGAGGCCCGAGCACAGCGTGCAAAATTAATTAATCAGTGAATTATATGGATCATCGATTTTGTTAATATCCGGTAGGTGAGAAGGCAAAATGGAAACATCAAAACACTTACAAAATAAATTGTTTCAACGCAATCAAAAACTATCACTAATAAAGCAATATAATACTTTATAAATGGAACGAATAGTTATATTCCCAAACCGAAACGCACAAATAATACAACCAACTTACCCTAACATGAATCTTCTTCAATTTATTAGCGTTGGTTTTAAGCATACGGTAAATGCGTTGCTTATATTTCAGCTTATGATGATTATATATTAGAATAAAAGGCTGTTACCTCTAAATGACCGACAGAATTATCAAATGGATAATCTCCAAGAAACCTCTCTTCCTGTAAAAATTTTCCGGCCTTGCCTTTAGAAGGAGGGAGGAATAGACCAAAGTTCCATTTATCCCTGATATTTTTGGTTATTCGGCGCAAAATTGTCAGCTTCATATCAAAAATTATGGTGTTCGGACTGAAATTTTGAACGCTCTTAATCTTATCAGCCTCATTAATATTATTACCTCATAATCCAGTTCAGGACATGTAACGCGAATAAACACCAAATTTTGACATCGAACATCAGTTTGACTGTCGTTCATGCTTAATGATAGTCCAGAATCACTGTCGCACATAGTTTTTAGTTCAAGGGCTTTTAATGTTTTCTAACCGTTCGCAGCGCATGGTTATAAACATATTTCATAACCGAGCAATTTCAGTAAATCGCACAACCTTGAACTTGAGCGAGATAAATAAAACGCACCTTTGACATAAAACGTAGGCAAACAGAAAAGTACTGAGTACGGTTAATTCGTTTGTATGTTTTGCAATTGTGTACTATTTTTGTATGACGTACACTGCGTTAAATTATGGGGCTTCTGTTTTTCCGTAGCTGCATGCAGATTCTGTGGCTGCGTTTTTAGGATACTCTCTAGCGGATTTATGGGTACATTGGAACCATGTTGTGTAAAGTGCTGTATTATTCAGCGTAGTTTCGGTCGTCGAATTACTGGGGGTCTTTGCTGCATACCGCTGAACTAAAGTGGACACTTTAGGCGGAGGTTGCAGTGACAATGACATTTTGCTCCATCAAGCATCACCAGCCAGACTTGTATACATTTTGTTTTACTTTGCACTCATCCAAAGCCTATAAATACTGGACTGCCATTTTTTGAAATCGCTCGGCCATCTTGCCCGCTTGTACCCGGCTGTTGCGCTCCATCGCGGCGTAACGCGTTACTTCACCACAATATCCCACTACTCTCTAGCTATATTTACACACTATTGTACAGTGATATTTTCTCAGGCCATTGTTTATATTCTGCCGTCTTCTGTCTTACTGTGCTATACATTTCTTGTGTAGCATTTTACAAGGCGCTACATAATTGGTGAACCCGAAGTGACATCCAACCTCATTCCGGTGAGTTCGTTCTATTTCTTTGGTTTTTCCACGCAAGCCATGGTCTCAGTTTCTAAAAAGTTTGAAGGTTCACAGTCTGGGCAAGCGGTATCTCTCGTAGTTCCACCCTTTATTGAAAAAGGTCCCGTTTTGTGTTTTATGATTTTAGAAGCTGAATTTACTTCTAAGCATGTTACTAGTGACTCTTCAAAGTTTAATCACTTGCCAGCACGCCTGCCAACTGATATTACTATAGCACTACGTGATCTTATTAATACATCCAATTCCCCTGACCGTTATAATTTTCTCAAGCACACTGTAATAAAACGCGTTACTCCCTCAGAGAAGTCCCGCCTGCATGAACTTTTACTGGTCTACAGCTGGGTTCTAGTAAGCCATCCGCGCTGTTGCTATGGATGCGCCGTCTTCTTCAAGGATCGCATATGGACGGGTCGCTGCTTCAAGATTTATGGCTTCAGCTTTTGTCTGAAAACGTACAAGCCATGCCATGGCTGGCGAAATCGCAGCCTTTGTCAGTAGTTGCAGATATTGCTGATGACATGATGGATCGTTTCACCGGACCACCTTGTCCGTCGCCTAGTTCTGTTCGCTCACCTGACGTAGGTTTTACTGTTGACCCTTCGGTCCAAATCATCAACACCGTTACTCCACCTTCTACTGGCGAGCTCTTAGCAGAGTTAGCCGCGCTACGGCAAGAAGTTCAAAGCTTAAAGTTACACTGGCAACAACGGGATTCTCCATCCCGTTCCCCTAGCCCATCTCGAAGACGAACACGCCGTTCAATTCGCCCTTATCGCGCAAGTTTAGGAAGGTCCGCTAAAAATTTTATTAAACTATGCTCACTTCCTGTAACGGGACAAGGACAGGCCGACACGTAGTGGCGACGAACGTCGTCGGCCGAAGTCGTCCAAGTCGCCTCTGCAAAATCATTGATAGGAACCCCAGGATCATGTTCCTGGTTGATACCAGGGCGGAAGACTCACAGTCTGTGTGT